AAGTAAATTGGAGAAGGAAATGGCAACCCACTCCAGTATTCTTGCCTGGAGAATCCCATGGAGGGAGGAGCCTGGTGGGCTACAGTCCACGGGGTCGCAAAGAGTCGGACACAACTGAGCGACTTAACTAACTTTTTAACTTATGTAAGTAAATAGGTATGCTTTACATCTTAAATGTATACAGTGCTATATGTCAATTATATTAATAGAACTGAAAAGAAAAAACTCTCTAAACCTTTGTCTCTACAGAGTTAAGCTCAAGCTCTCATGAACACAGATTTTCTTTCCTTCATTCATTTTTAATAGTGACATCTCTGTGTACTAAAGCTGAGGAACCACAGACTTGTGGGATGAACTCTAAGCTCTTTTTTTTCTCAGGTTGTTGATAATCTGATCTAAATGTTCTATTTCCAAGCTTTCCTTCCACTATTTTTACTCCAACCAAATGTATCTACTTTCAATTTCATTAATTAATTAATTAAAGCAAGTTATATTTGCTTTATAATATTGTGTTAGTTTCAGCTGTACAGAATAGTGATTCAGTATTTTTACAGATAATATTTCTTTAAAGGCTTTATAAGATAGCAGGTATAGTTCCCTCTGCTGTACAATAAATCCTTGTTGCTTATCTATTCAATATATAATGATTTATATCTGTTAGTCCCATACCCCTGATTTGTCTTTACCCACTTCAATTTGTTTACTATTTATCTGTAAAATGCTCCCCCACTTCTCTCTCCTTGCTGAAGATCTGCTCTCCTTTCAAGACTCACCTTATCTAGATTTCTCCATAAATAAAAACTTTTGTCTAGTTTTCTTCCCCCTTCATGCTCTACCTCTTAAAGCTTCTTTTTTTTTTTTTCATTAAAAAATCATGTAGAATTTGGTTAACTCTTTCATTCCATACAACAGCTCCCAAACATGCACCTCCAATCCAGACCTCTTTCTAGAACTTCAGACTTGTGTGTTCGGTAGCCTTTCTGATACTTCCCCTGAGATGAAAAAGGATGGACATCTTTCACTCAACATTTTCAAAAGAGATACCCTCATTTTTTCCCAAAAACAACCCTACCAATGACAACTTATCTTTCTAACTACTCAAGTGAAAAAGCTTGGAACCGTCCTTATTGCCTTTCACAACCACACCTAATCTGTCTAGGTACCCCATAGACTTCACCTTAAAAAAACAACCCTACCAATGACAACTTATCTTTCTAACTACTCAAGTGAAAAAGCTTGGAACTGTACTTATTGCCTTTCATAACCACACCTATTCTGTCTAGTCACTCCATAGACTTCGTTGAACACTATAGTGTTCAATCTAACCACTTCTCACCATCTCCACTGCTATCTCCCTAGCAGATAGTGGAGCCACACACAGCATACCACCCACCCCCCACTTCTAGATTACTGAACTAGCCACATAATTGGTCTCTATGTCTCCACTTTGGCCCCTATCTTGCCAAGTCTGTTTTTGTACAGCAACCAGAATGATCCTGCGACAGACATGGAACCCAAGACCATTTGCGGTACAGTGCTGCAGTGCTTGTACCTAAGCCTCTCCTCCAACAAGAAAATACAAAGAAACTAAGGGACTAAAAATAACTGTGTGCATGCACAGTCAGGGCAAATTTTGGACAAAAGATACAAAGAGACCAAAAAAACCAAACTGCCACTTCTGAAGAGTCGGAACAAAAGGAGGTTACTGCCCTTGCCCCCTGTACACACCACCACCTAAGGGTGGGCAACCACCTAAACCACCCCATTGGCCCAACCCCTGGACACACCACTACCCTCACCCCACAAAAGGGACAAACTCCCTGCCCAGCAAGCAGAAAAGCAGAGGAACTTGTTTGTTCTCGCTCCCCCCTGCTGCAACAGGGGTCCCCCAAAAAACTTGCCTGAATTTCTTGTCTGGCCTCTGATCAATTTCTATTGATGAAGGAGGCCAAGAACCCTGGTGGGTAATAATCCTTTTAAAACACTGTCATACCATGTCATTACTATGGATGGTGACTGCAGCCATGAAATTAGAAGACGATTACTTCTTGGAAGGAAAGCTATGACAAACTATGTGTATTAAAAAGCAAAGACATCGCTTTGACAACAAAGGTTCATATAACAAAGCTATGGTCTTTCCAGTAGGCATGTATGGATGTGAGACTTGGACCATAAAGAAGGCAGAGTGCCGAAGAATTGATGTTTTTGAACTGTGCTGCTGGAGAAGACTCTTGAGAGTCCCTTGGACAGCAAGACCAAACCAGTAAATCCTAAAGGAAATCAATCCTGAATATTCTTTGGAAGGACTGACATTGAAGCTGAAGCTCCAATACTCTGGCCACCTGATGAGAACAGCCGACTCACTGGAGAAGACCCTGATGCTGGGAAAGATGGAAGGCAAAAGGAGAAGACGGCAACAGAGGATGAGATGGTTGGATGGTATCACTGACTCAATGGACACAAACTTGGACAAACTCCAGGAGATGCTGAGGGATGAGGCAGCCTGCCATGTTGCAGTCCATGGGGTCACAAAGAGTCAGAAAGATTTGGCAACTGAACAACAACAACAGCCATGTCACCTTCTAATGGCTCCCTGCGTCATTCAGAAGGAAAACTCAAGCCCTTACAATGACTTATACAACCCACTATGATCTCTCCCCTCCTTCTTCTCTCCTCTCCTCATCTCAAGTCTCCTCCTCCCCTAGCTGCCTTTCCCTGCACATCGGCTGCCTTGTTCCTCTTTAAGCCAGCCAGGTTCAGTCCCACCTTAGGCTGTTTTAGCTGCTCCCTCCGTATAAACACTCTTCCCTTACATGGTCTTCAAGGCTTACTCCCTCACCTTCCTTAAGTCTTTGCTCAAATCTCTTCTCCATGGAAATGACTGAGATCCTTTGTTTAATATTACAACATGCCCCCACACTCTCTCTCCATCTCTGATACAACTAATGTCCCTTTTTCCTGAAATCACCTTACTCTTAAACCACCTCGAGTCACATTCAGCTCAGTTCAGTCGCTCAGTTATGTCCGACTCTTTGCGACCCCATGGACTGCAGCATGCCAGGCCTCCCTGTCCATCATCAACTCCTGGAGTTTACTCAAATTCATGTCCATTGAGTCAGTGATGCCATCCAACCATCTCATCCTCTGTCATCCCCTTCTCCTCCCGCCTTCAATCTTTCCCAGCATCAGGGTCTTTTCAGCAGTCACCATCTGCAGTGATTTTGGAGCCCAAAAAAATAAAGTCTGTCACTGTTTCCACTGTTTCCCCATCTATTTGCCATGAGGTGATGGGACCAGATGCCATGATCTTAGACTCCCCTGAAAACAGGCAAGACCTAGAAAGACTTCCTCTTTCTAGGAAGCATACAACCTATAAATTCCAAATGGGTCACATAACTTCAGCATCCCTGTACATGTAAACTGTGTATGGTTATAGGATCCAGATAAAGATCCTATAACCACACTTGAGTGGAAGAGAGGTTAAAAAAAAAGAAAACAGCTGTAGGTGCAGAATAGGATGAATGGAAAAGAAAGCCACTTCAGTGAGAGAACACTGAGAAACCATAAAGCACAAATGTTTGTAATCTCAACTACATCCTGAGGGACCAGAAAATATACAAACTACAACATCCACAAAATCTACAAATTGCAACATGAATTGAAGATGAAAAGGCGGGGATTGAGGCGGGGAGGGCCTAGCTATTTTTAAAATAAAAAAAATGAAAACAAGTGTTGAAAAAGAGTTATCTAGGGAATTCAATAATGACCCAAGAGTCCATATGGATGCTGTTTTCCCTGCAATGTTTTCTTACAAGAAGAAATAAACTATCTCTATACAGATAGTATTGAGTTGCCTTTTTTTTTTTTTCTGGAGGAAGGACGTCTCTCAAAGTAAAAAGATCAAAATGTAAAACCATCTCATGAAATCATGAGATGTGGGACAATGTTTAGGTTTGGGATTTTGGTCTTCTGAAGGGCAGGAATTTTTTTTTTTGCTCTGATTTATTTATTTTTTACAAAGAAAATGCAATCATAAGACTCACAGTCTTATGTGATCAGTTCCTTTTAATACTTTGTGTTTTTATGTTCAACAATCTAATATAAAAAATTAAGGAAAACATTGTCTTATCAATGGACTTTACATATCAAAATATTGCATTTTAGGTCCACTATGATCTATGATACAAAACTATCACCTCAATTAAATTATAGCTTCAATATAGTTTCAAGCCAAGATATTATCAAGCTTTCAAAATCAAATTCCTTACTCATGAGAAAATACCAACATTAAAATGGACAAAATAATAAGCTCACTCATTAAGATGCACTAATAATTTCAAAAACATGATGTCTTAGATTCTACAATGCAACCTTCATTGAGAAAGACATTACTTTCTTTATAGTTATTGTTTTAATTAAAAAATAGCTTCATTTGGAAATCATTCTCCTACCTTATTCTGATATGACTTTCCAAATTTATAAATATCAAAACACAACGTATACTCTCTTAAAATCAGACTTGTGGACTCTGGGAGAAGGCGAGGGTGGGATGTTTCAGGAGAACAGCATTGAAACATGTGTATTATCTAGGGTGAAACGGATAACCAGCTCAGGTTGGGTACATGAGACAAGTGCTCGGGCCTGGTGCACTGGGAAGACCCAGAGGGATCGGGTGGAGAGGGAGGTGGGAGGGGGGACTGGGATGGGGAATACATGTAAATCCATGGCTAATTCATATCAATGTATAACAAAAACTACTGTAATGATGTAAAGTAATTAGCCTCCAACTAATAAAAATTAAAAAATAAATAAATAAATAAATAAATAAAATGAAACTAAAGGAAAATGCAAAACAATCTACGAGTGCAAGTGTTTTCTTGCAGCGGTCTTCAGTGTTACTGTTTGTACTTTATTGTAGTATGCAGCAACACTGAAACACCATAGATTATTTCTGGGTAGAGTTATCTTTAAAAGGCAACTTTATGCAAACTGTGACTTACACATTCTGTGGCTGTGACTATTAGCGAACTCGAGATGACAGACTTTCCTTCATTAAAACTCACTGAAACATGAAGAGCTCTGAAAGAAAATGAAGAAACAATAATGAACAATGAATTAAAAAGTAGAGCTTTGTGGGAGATTTTTCTTTCTTTAAATCATTCAAAAGTAACCAGAAAGTCTATTTTAAAAGTCAAGTGCCTGATCAGTTGGTTTACCTTAGCTTTTTTCTGTCTTAGTTCCAGTCCTTACTCGGTAGCTAGAGGCAAATTGCTTAAGTGATTCAATTGTTCCTAAAAGAGGCACATGAAAAATTCCTATGGTTGTCCTTATAGTTTAAAAATGCTGTTTTTTGGACAAAAAGTTGATTTAAAAGAATTCCTTAACACAGAAAATGCTGAGCTTTTTCAGGTTCACAAAAATCTTTTTAAAAAGGAGAAAAATCATTCCATCCCATTTCGCTTTTCCCTGTCTGTAGATATTACAATTATTACAAGATTATTGTTTAAGAATACAAAAATAACCAACCGTTCAAAGATAAAATACAGAGAAAGTGATAATGAAAGACACAGATAAGCTGAATGGAAAAAATACATTTAAATATCTGTAGGCATTTGTTGCAAATACCCAAGATTTTAACATATCCTGAAAAAGGCAGAGAAAAGAGGGAATAATTTCTGTTCATTGCTGAGAACTACTGTAATTAAAATACAGCTCTCATTTTGAAAATATTATAATTAAAAATAACTAAAATTTCATTAATTCAGGTTTTATTATAGTAATTCATTAATTGGGATCAGTTGGTAATTTTTTTTTTCATAGCCTTAGGAAGATGGCAACCCACGCCAATATTCCTGTCTGAGAAATCCCATGGACAAAGCAGCTTGGTGGGTTAAAGTTCATGGGGTCGCAAGAGCCAGACAGGACTTAGCAAATAAACCACCACAAGAAGATACCAAATGGCGAATAGTGACAAGGAGATTTTAAAGGAAACAGCTCTTTTCCAAAAGAGTTTACAAAGTATATTACCTATAATAATCAATATACCAAGAAAACAAAGCTATCCATTCATTAAAGTTCAGGCAACACTTTGTTAATCTAGCTTCTACACCGCACCATGCCCCAGTATTCACAAAATATTCTAAATTCCAAGAATTAATAGCCAGAAACTTTGCCTTAATTACTCTGGATTAGTAGAATCTTGTTAAATTTATTAGAGTTCTACTCTAGGCCTTGAATTGTGTGTCAAACACCGTTAGTTACAGACAGAGTAAAACAGAAGCAATCTCAAGCCACTGGTAAGATTTTCAATAATGATGCCAGTGATGACAAATATTATTCAGTTCCTGCCAGATGCTATCCTGGGCATTTTATGATATTATCTCATATAACTGTTAAAGAGTTTCACAGTTTTATAGCTGAGGTACATAAGGCCCCAAAATGCTAATTACCTTGTCCAAAGTGGTAAAGACAGGATTCTTACAAATTTCAAGTTCTTTCCATTATACCACTTCAAGAAATGAAAGTTCTTATTGTGTTTTTCTTTTTTATTATCCTCTCAATGTGATATGTAGCTTGGGTTTTTACAGCGCTAGAGTCTCCAGGAAAGATAAAACTAGTAAACTTCTAGCTAAACTCGTCTTCAAAATTCAGCATTACTCCTATTAAAAATATTCCCTGTAAATTACTCCCTTCAAAACATTTTGTTTTTAAAAATATGTTTAACGAAATCCAGAAACAAGCAACAACTTAGGGTGTTTATGTCAACTTTACTGAACTTCTATGAACTTCCAACACAGAATGAGAAATGGCTTATTTAAGAAAGTAAACTTAAAATTACTTGCTTATTCTGCAGAATTGAGTGCCTTGTTTTGTTTTGCTTTTTTGAAGACTAAGCATAGTAGAATCCAAAAATAATGTTTCCTAGATCTTAATTCCTTCACTCTCAAGCATGCACCAGAAAGCACATGACACAGAAGGCATGGTTTTGGTTTTGGGGAAGATTTATTGGAGTCATAACACTGTATGACTGTTGCAGGTAATCTTATTGATTCAACTTTGAAGGGATCAGTAGACATTGACATAAATTGTTTATAATCTGGCAGGTAGAACTCACCAGACATGAACCAGTTCTCTAATTAATAAAGGAAACATTCAAAACATTTCATACTTATCCAAATGGAATAAAAACAGAAGATATTTTTTACAACAAAGTTCACTCTTTTAGTTTCCCATAGCATGCTGATGAGCTCTTGTAGGCAATCAAAACAACTGCACATTATTCCTAAAATCTCAGTCTAGTATAATGTGGTTGGTGAAATAAAACTGACTTAAGTCTCCACAGACATGGAAATCCACCTGATGATTCCTTGGACACATGGACTCAGTTGAAACAATATAACCTTCCACTTCCTGAAAGCAGTAGTAGCACTATCAAACTATTACCATTAGCAACAATATTAATAATGATGGCATTTGCCTATTCCTTACTATGAACCTGAGAGAGTTAATTCTTAGGTAGGTTGATAAGGAGTCTGGGGCCCTCAAAGAGGAGAAAGGGGTCCAAAGCCCTTGGAGAGGAAAAAGGGGTCTGGAGTTCTCAAGGAAGAGAAAAGGACAAATGGGTTTTTTCTACATTCTTTCATCTTAGTCACATAAAATGCTTTTTTCTTTAAGCCCAGAGTTAATGGCTCACAGGTTGTTTTTCCTTAAGCTCTGTACTAGAGATTATACAACAACAATGTATCTTGCTCAAGGACATGCTCCTTTTTTACAAGGACCTTCTGACTAATCTGGTTATCTTAAATTGTATGCTGTGGGAGTGGGTCTGGTAAAAGTATGTAAGACCTCCATTAGACTAGCAAGGGGGGCACTCCCCATCCCCCTTCTGACGTCTATGTCAGAAGCTTTCTCTGTCCCTTTTTATACTTTAATAAAACTCTGCTATACAAAAGCTCTTGAGTGATCAAGCCTAGTCCCTGGCTCCAAGGCTAAATCTTCTTCGGAGATCATGAATCTGACATTATTCACCATAAGCTGTCAAACCCAACACACTACTCATCTTCTCATTTAATTCTCAAAACAATCCACTGAGGGAGGCTGTACCATTATCTGCATTTTCCAAATAAGGAACTTAAAGCTTAAAAAGGTAACCTGCCCCAAACTGGACTTTTCTTGACTCTGTAGTCAAACGCTTTCACTTCTATTACACATTACCTTAGTCCTCAATAAATGCTTTAGGGTCTGATATTTAATTTTTGCTCAGTGGCAAAATTTTGTGTCACTCCTCCAAATTTTTACAATATTCATGTTATTTCCCATGGCTAATTACATTCGCATTTATTATATAATGAAGAGGGAAATGGCAACCCACTCCAGTATTCTTGCCTAAAGAATCCCATGGACAGAGGAGCCTGGTAGGGCTATAGTACATGTGGTCGCAAAGAGTCGGACATGACTGAGCAACTAACAGTTACTATATAAAATACTTATTTGTGAATATATCTGTATATTTTTATATGGATATATATTTGTTGGTAGTTTTTTTCAGAAATGTTGCAAGCATGAAAAGCATACTCTAAAAGTTATTTCTGCTTTTAGATTTTGTTGTTTCTTTAGAAAAATATTTTGAGATTATTGGTATGATAATGGCAGTGTTTGATCAAACCAGTCAAACCTAAAGGAAATCAGTCCTGAATATTCATTGGAAGGACTGATGCTGAAGCTGAAACTCCAATATTTTGGCCCCCTGATACGAGGAGAGAAAACTGTATGCAGGTCAGGAAGCAACAGTTAGAACTGGTCATGGAACAACAGACTGGTTCCAAACAGGAAAAGGAGTACGTCAAGGCTGGATATTGTCACCCTGCTTATTTAACTTATATGCAGAGTACATCATGAGAAACTCTGGGCTGGAAGAAGCACAAGCTGGAATCAAGATTGCTGGGAGAAATATCAATAACCTCAGATATGCAGACAACACCACCCTTATGGCAGAAAGTGAAGAGGAACTAAAAAGCCTCTTGATGAAAGTGAAGGAGGAGAGTGAAAAAGTTGGCTTAAAGCTCAACATACAGAAAACTAAGATCATGGCATCTGGTCCCATCACTTCATGGCAAAATAGATAGGGAAACCATGGAAACAGTGTCAGACTTTATTTTTGGGGGCTCCAAAATCACTGCAGATGGTGATTGCAGCCATGAAATTAAAAGATGCTTGCTCCTTCAAAGAAAAGTTATGACCAACCTAGATAGCATATTTAAAAGCAGAGACATTACTTTGCCAATAAAGGTCCATCTAGTCAAGGCTATGGTTTTTCCAATAGTCACATACGGATGTGAGAGTTGGATGGTGAAGAAAGCTGAGTGCCGAAAAACTGATGCTTTTGAACTGTGGTGTTGGAGAAGACTCTTGAGAGTCCCTTGGACTGCAAGGAGATCCAACCAGTCCATCCCAAAGGAGATCAGTCCTGGGTGTTCATTGGAAGGACTGATGTTGAAGCTGAAACTCCAATACTTTGGCCACCTCATGAGAAGAGTTAACTCATTTGAAAAGACCCTGATGCTGGGAAGGATTGGGGGCAGGATAAGAAGGGGACGACAGAGGATGAGATGGCAGGATGGCATCACCGACTCGATGGACATGGGTTTGGGTAGACTCCGGGAGTTGGTGATAGACAGGGAGGCCTGGCGTGCTGTGGTTCATGGGATTGCAAAGAGTCAGACACGACTGAGCGTGAACTGAACTGAACTGAACTGATACGAAGAACTGACTCATTGGAAAAGACCCTGATGCTGGGAAAGATTGAAGGCAGAAGGAGAAGGGGACGACAGAGGATGAGATGGTTGGATGTCATCATCGACTCGATGGACATGAGTTTGAGCAAGCTTCAGGAGCTGATGATGGATAGGGAAGCCTGGAGTGCTGCAGTCCATGAGGTCTCAAAGAATCAGATGTGACTGAGAGACGGAACTGAATGGCACCGTAATGAGTTGATACCTTTGTCCAAAGCTCTGCTCCTTCATTGATGGCACATAGATTGATAAAGCCCCCTCATCCTTTAACCCAGACTCAATACCTTG